TTCTCCTCTCGGGATCTTGGGCACGCACGCACACGCGCCCGGCGTGAGTTTTAAGCCACCGGGTCCGGGACGCGAACCGCAGTCGACTACGTGGGAGTCCAGCGACATAGCCATTACGCTAACTGCCGGTTCCCAACAATTTTTTTCTTAAACTATCCATTTATTTATTTTGACCAGAGAGGGAGAGAGAGGACAAGCTCCCAGGTCTGGGACTCAAACTGTGGTTGGCCACATGGTGCCCTTAAGCACCACACCACTGCAGGCCCCGAGAATCACTTGTTTCCACTGTACTGTGCTGATTTATTTTATCGTGAAGTCACAAGACCCTGTCAAGAGGGATCTTGTTGTTATATGCCTTAAATACTGTTCTCTTAACTTTGAGTATTTTACATCAACTTATACAAAAAGTAAAATAAAACTTTTATCTCAAAATATTTCACCACGTAATGACAAACGATTGTTAATATCCATGAAAACTAAAATACTAAGTCTTTTATTATTGTAGAATTAATACCAAATTGGGAACCAGCAGTTAGTGGAATGGCTATGTCGCTGGACTCCCACGTAGTCGACCGCGATTCGCGTCCCGGACCCGGTGGCTTAAAAACTCACGCCGGGTGCGTGTGCGTGCGTGCCCAAGATCCCGAGAGGGGAATGGAGGAGAAGGGATTGCGGCGTGACCATCCCCCCTGGGGGGTGATTTCTTGCTTTCTGTCTCTATGTCTCTCTGGCGAGCGCATGTGCCCTATAGCAAAAAAAAGCTCTCCCAAAAAAAAGAAAAAAAAATTAATACCAAATTTATAGTTCAGCAAACTGATTTTTTTTTTTTTTTTTTCTGTAGACAAGCTGAGGAAATTCTTTCATTTCGATACTTTACTTTTTTACTCACTGTCGCTGTGGAGATGGTTACTGAGAAGCTGTTCACCCCTCATTTAAGAAGAACTTAACTTTTCGATCTTGTTTTTTCCTTTGCTTTAATTCAGTTTTGTTTTTTGTCATAGGGTGCTTGCTGGAGAGAGGCAGAGGAAAAATGAGAGGGAAAGTGAAAAAATCATCCCCACACGGGTGGCTCTCTTGTAGTCCCTTCTCCTCCTGTGAGTTTGTGCATGCCTGCACACACACCCTACCATTGGGTCTGGCCACATGGGAGTCTCACACCTTAAGCACTACTCCAGCTGTTGGCCCCTAAGTAGAATTTTTTTTAGAAACTCCTTTTCTCTTAGAATTCCGGGACCAGCAGTTAGTGTAATGGCTATGTCACTGGACTCCCATGTAGTCAACCATGCTTCAAGTCTCGGACCCGGTGGCGTAAACTCATGCCGGTGCATTTGCGTGCATGCCCAAGATCCCAAGAGGAGAATGGAAGAGAAGAGATTGTGGTGTGGCCTTCCCCCCGGGGGATGATTTCTTCTTTTCTGTCTCTCTGTCTTTCTGGTGAGCGCACATGCCCTATAGCAAAAAATCTCTCCCAAGAAATTGTTTCATATATTCAACTGTAAAAGGATAAAATTACCTGAGTTCTAGCAACTCCCTAATACTTCCCTTCCTTTTCTTCCACATACATGTTTTTACCTCGTCTGTTTCACGTTTTGGCTTCGGCTGGCGTAGCTTTGTTGCTCACAGGACGAGTGCTCGTGTGGTGGTCTCCCCTTCTCCCCACAGCACTCCACTGACAAGTGCGCGGGGATGCTCATGGCTGAGGGGTCGCGTAGCACTGGAAATTAAGGGAGAGTGATGTTTTCCCCAAAAATCTCACCACGAAAAGTTTAAAATACACAGAATAGAGGAAAACATTTTCGTGTGAAGAGCCTAATGCCCATTGAATATTTTGCACTGAATGTTTTATTATAAACTTCCTTGTTCTTGTTTCTCTGAGGCTGCTCAACTGCGATTTTTGGTACAAAGAACAGAAAAGGCAAAATTGCCTATCTCGGACAATTGTCTTAAGGCTTATTCCAAAAGGTCCCTCCCCTTTTTCTTTTTAAGAATTATTTCATCGGGGACTGGCAGGTGACGTGGTGGTTTAGGGCGCTGGACTCCCACGTGGCCGACAGTGACTCAAGCCCCAGAGCTGGCTGCTTGCTTTCTTACCTTTTCCCCCTCATTTCCTCACTCTGTCCCTCTCTGGTCAAGTTAACACAAATAAATAGTTAAATAAGATTTGAAAAAGAAGAACTATTTCATTTAACTTTATTTATTTATGTTAATTTGACCAGAGAGAAACAGAGTGAGGGGGGGGAGAGAGAGAGAGAGATGGAGAGTGAGAAAGCAAACCACCAGGTCCAGGACTTAAACCACGGTCAGCCACATGAGAGTCCAGCGGCCTTAATCACCACACCACTTGCTGGCCCCCAAACTGTTTTCTAAAAAAGGCGTTGTTCCTCAGTCTGTCTTTGACTGTAATCAAGGTTCAGTGGCTATCTTTGCAGTGCAGCTAGAGTTACATGTCCATTCAGTTGTTTTTGTGTTGCAGTCTCTCCGATTATTCCATTTACTGATTTGATGATAAAGAAATGTCTCAAAATGTACAATTTCAAACCTCTTTTTTTCTCACTTTATTTTTTGAACAGATAAGGAACAACAAGAAAACTGCCATCTTAGTTAAAGAAGTAAACCCTAAAAAGAAACTTTTCCTAGTTTATCGACCAAATACTGGGAAACAGCTCAAACTAGAAATTTATGCTGACTTAAAAAAGAAATATAAAAAGGTATTTTCTCATTTATACATTAATTATGCTATTATATATTTAAATACTTGTTTTTTCATAATATTATTGAAATTATGTGTAGGATAGCTATTCTGTATAGGACTTTATTTTGTCCTGTTTTCTCATTTGATTACTGTTTTAAATGATTAAGTTTTGTTTCGTTGCTATCCCAGTTAATGTTATCAACCAGTAGGGAACTTGTAACGTGATTATTGAAACGGGTTATGTTGTCAGTAAAGGAGGCTAGGAGGCTTCCAGTGCCAGCCATAAAAATTAAAATGTTTCGATAAAGGAAAAATGCGCGAGGCTGAAATTCCTTCCTGCTGGCTCTTGGTTTAATTCCAAATATACTAGCATGTTTGCACTTTATAGTAATGTCTAATAGACATAAACTACTGGTTTTTGCAACATTGTTGTTATTACTTTATTGGTAGTATTACCTTGTGTTATTGTTCTTAACTATTCTCACTTGAAAACAGTTACTGCTACTTGAAAAAGTCATTACATGGGAAGAACCGTCATGACGGAGATTTCCAAATGGCATTCACGTTTAGCTAGGTGCAAAGGCTAGGTTTTCTGTGTAGAGATGATGTTCGTTGGCAGCCTTTAGAGGTAAGAGACTAGGCCGGGCAACCAGATGACTTAGAGCAAAACAGTTTTAATGGAGTTTCTGTCTTTTTGCAGGTAGTTTCAGACGATGCACTGGTGCACTGGTTAGAGCAGTACAACTCATCTGCAGATACTTGTACTCATGCTTATTGGTTAGTATTTTCATGTTTCTCACCGTGTTTCCCCAGGTGCAATGACAATGTCAGCGTGTTGTCATTCTTGACGAAGTATGTTCTTATAAGTATGTTCTTAATGGGACCAGCAGTTAGTGTAATGGCTATGTCGCTGGACTCCCACATAGTCGACCGCGGTTCGTTTCCCGGACCCGGTGGCTTAAAACTCACGCCGGGCGCGTGTGCGTGCATGCCCAAGATCCCGAGAGGAGAATGGAGGAGAAGGGATTGTGGCATGACCTTCCCCCCAGGGGGTGATTTCTTGCTTTCTGTCTGTCTGTCTCTCTCTCTCTCTGGTGAGCGCATGCGCTCTATAGCAAAAACCTCTCAAAAAAAAAAAAAAGTATGTTCTTAACAGTAAATTTTACTGTTGGTCATGGCTCGTTTCATCAGTGATGATAAAGAAATGTCTCAAAATGTACAATTTCAAACCTCTTTTTTTCTCACTTTATTTTTTGAACAGATAAGGAACAACAAGAAAACTGCCATCTTAGTTAAAGAAGTAAACCCTAAAAAGAAACTTTTCCTAGTTTATCGACCAAATACTGGGAAACAGCTCAAACTAGAAATTTATGCTGACTTAAAAAAGAAATATAAAAAGGTATTTTCTCATTTATACATTAATTATGCTATTATATATTTAAATACTTGTTTTTTCATAATATTATTGAAATTATGTGTAGGATAGCTATTCTGTATAGGACTTTATTTTGTCCTGTTTTCTCATTTGATTACTGTTTTAAATGATTAAGTTTTGTTTCGTTGCTATCCCAGTTAATGTTATCAACCAGTAGGGAACTTGTAACGTGATTATTGAAACGGGTTATGTTGTCAGTAAAGGAGGCTAGGAGGCTTCCAGTGCCAGCCATAAAAATTAAAATGTTTCGATAAAGGAAAAATGCGCGAGGCTGAAATTCCTTCCTGCTGGCTCTTGGTTTAATTCCAAATATACTAGCATGTTTGCACTTTATAGTAATGTCTAATAGACATAAACTACTGGTTTTTGCAACATTGTTGTTATTACTTTATTGGTAGTATTACCTTGTGTTATTGTTCTTAACTATTCTCACTTGAAAACAGTTACTGCTACTTGAAAAAGTCATTACATGGGAAGAACCGTCATGACGGAGATTTCCAAATGGCATTCACGTTTAGCTAGGTGCAAAGGCTAGGTTTTCTGTGTAGAGATGATGTTCGTTGGCAGCCTTTAGAGGTAAGAGACTAGGCCGGGCAACCAGATGACTTAGAGCAAAACAGTTTTAATGGAGTTTCTGTCTTTTTGCAGGTAGTTTCAGACGATGCACTGGTGCACTGGTTAGAGCAGTACAACTCATCTGCAGATACTTGTACTCATGCTTATTGGTTAGTATTTTCATGTTTCTCACCGTGTTTCCCCAGGTGCAATGACAATGTCAGCGTGTTGTCATTCTTGACGAAGTATGTTCTTATAAGTATGTTCTTAATGGGACCAGCAGTTAGTGTAATGGCTATGTCGCTGGACTCCCACATAGTCGACCGCGGTTCGTTTCCCGGACCCGGTGGCTTAAAACTCACGCCGGGCGCGTGTGCGTGCATGCCCAAGATCCCGAGAGGAGAATGGAGGAGAAGGGATTGTGGCATGACCTTCCCCCCAGGGGGTGATTTCTTGCTTTCTGTCTGTCTGTCTCTCTCTCTCTCTGGTGAGCGCATGCGCTCTATAGCAAAAACCTCTCAAAAAAAAAAAAAAGTATGTTCTTAACAGTAAATTTTACTGTTGGTCATGGCTCGTTTCATCAGGATTTATTTAAAGCCCATTCCCGGTGGTATTCCCAGGGTGGTGCTGGAGCCGTATTCCCACAAGGTTGGGATCTTGCGTAGACCTGGACGTGCCAGGGACAGGACTGAGGCACCATAGGGTCTCCGTGGCAGTGTCTGTGCCTCTTTCTCTGCTCCTTTGCTCTGCTCTGATGAAATAAATAAATGATACTTTAAAAAAGGGGGAAATAATTTACTGAGACTTGATTTGGCGGGTCAGGCACCGCTTAGGTATTCTACCCTTCTGTGATGTTTGGTGATTTTCAGCCAGCTGCTGTCTGTCTCCCTTGGTGTTATAACTTGCTCTTTCTCTTTCTTTGCTCCCCCTTTAAATATTTATTTTAATTTTATTTATTCATTTATTTTTTAATTTGACCATAGAGAGACAGGCGGGGGAGTGAGAAACCACACCACAAGGCCCCGGGCTCGAAGTGTGGTCAGCCATGTGGGAGTGTCCACTGCCTTAGCCACCACGCCACCTGCTGGTTCCCCTCCTTTCTTTTAAAACGCTTTGCCTCATATTCCAAATCCAGGGAGCTTCCAGAAAACCAAGGAGGTGCCTAAAGTAGCTGCATGCCCTGAGCAAGCTCTGTGATGAGCCTGGGACTGGCCCTGTGTGTTCTCTGGCTGCCCCACCGCACGTTTGTGCGAGGACCTTGTGCAGAGCCTGGAAGCCCTGTGTGGCTGTGACCTTCCTCGTCAGTGTGCTCTCACCCATTGTAGTTCGTTTCCGTACTGTCAGTCCACTGTGTGAGAGCGAGTAGGATGTGAGTGAATTCTAGCCTACACTCTTTTTTATTTCTTTTTTTTTTTTAACTAAAACTCATGCAGGTAGATAAATTTGCTTTAATCTGAACAGTTCTTTTTATTTTAGAGAACAAATTAGTACTATTAGAAGTTAATTTAAGAAAAACTTTAAGGTAACTTTTTGTTTTAAAGAATTATTTAACTCTATTCATGTATTTATTTATTTTCTTAATTTGACTAGAGAGTGACAGAGTGAGGGAGAGAGAGGTGGGGAAAGTGAGAAAGCAAGCCACCAAGTCCAGGACTTGACCTGTAGTCGGCCATCTGGGAGTCCAGCATCCTTAACTACCACGCCACCTGCTGGCCCCTAAGGTAACATTTTTAAGACTGATCTACAAAATCTAAAATACTTGCTTTTGAGTTACAGCAAGAGAAATGCCCTAAATGTGTACATTTAACACTGCGTACTAAGTTCATCTTGAATTAATACTGAACGAAAGATGCTTTTTATTAATGAATTATGGAAAAAAAACTAAATATTGATAATGCCTCCCTCTCTCTGAGTTCATCTTAAATTTACATGTAGTTTGTGCATGTGTCTGTCCCTTTTTTCCCATCTCTCATTCTTCTCACACACACACACACACACACACCCACACCCACCCATTGCTCAGGCCTTTCCTTCTAGTCTGATTTAGAATGAAGCATCTATAGTTTTGTTTTGTTTTGTTAAAGATTTCTGTCTTAGGGTGCATGTGTTTATTGGAGAGAGATAAGAAAAGGAAAGTGAGAAACCACCCCTGGGGGCATGACCATGCTGTAATTCCTTCTTTTCCATTCTCCTCTTTGGATTTTGGGCAGAAATACACCTGCGCCTGGTGTGGTTGTTAAGCCCTCGTTGGCCATGTAAGAGTCCAGCACCTTAGCCACCATACTGCTTGCTGGTCCCAATGTCTGTAGGTTTTTTTGTTTGGTTGTGTTTTTTGTTTGTTTGTTTGTTTTGAGAGAGTTTTTTTGTTATAGGGCACGTGCACTTGCCACAGAGACAGACAGATAGAAATCGAGAAATCACCCCCGAGGGGGGATGGCCACGCCGCAATCCTTTCTCCTCCAGTCTCCTCTTAGGATCTTGGGCACGCACACACACGTGCCCGGCGTGAGTTTTAAGCCACCGGGTCCAGGACACGAACCGCGGTCGACTACGTGGGAGTCCAGTGACATAGCCATTACGCTAACTGCTGGTCCCAAGATTAAATAATTCTTTAAAAAATATACTGCCATGCATATGTACTAGAAATAACTGGTAGAATCAGTATTATTACAGGAAAGTAAGTGTATATGTGGGACCAGCAGGTGGCGTGGTGGTTAAGGTGTTGGACACTTTCACGTGGCTAATCACGATTTGAGTCCCAGACCTGGTGGCTTGCTTTCTCACTTTCCTTCTCTCTTTCTCTCTCTCTCTGGGTCTCTCTCTGGTCAAATGAAAATGAATAAATGAATAAAATTAAATAAATAATTAAATAAAACTGTGTATATGAGAAAGACTGAAATGCTTTAATGGCCATCAAAAATAGTAAATCATTCCTTTTACAGTGAGACAGGGTCCTGAAACAATTGTAACTTGAAAAATCAGTAGGGATACCTTAAATTAGAAAGGGTAATCCAGGAAGTCAAAAGGATGAGAATCTAAGGCCCAGCGAAGGCAAATAATGCTAGAATGTTTTCCATCTGAAGTTTGGATAAACCATGCCAAACCTTTATGGATTCCTGTGAGTATATATTTTCTTTCTATCTTTTCCAGGCGTGGCAATTGCAAAAAAGCAAGCTTGGGATTCGTTTGTGAAATAGGTCTTCGTTGCCGCACGTATTATGTACTGTGTGGTTCAGTGCTGAGTGTGTGGACAAAAGTCGAGGGTGTTCTAGCCTCTGTCAGTGGCACAAATGTGAAAATGCAGATAGTTCGGCTGAGAACCGAAGATGGACAGCGGATTGTAGGTGAGTCTAAATTCTTTTTGGTTTGTGTTGTAGTAAAAATCAGATCCTGTTGTTAGCATTTTTGGCTTTTTTGGCTTCTGATGTCTTAGATGTCAGATACACCTGGCCTCTATTTTAGTAGTAGGTGTAGACCGAGCAAGGTTCTTAAGAGGTTGAACCAAAGTGAAGACTCAACGCTTGCGGTGGTAGCCCAGTGTTAGGCGAAGCTCTGGGGTCCCAGAGCCACGTGGGGAAGGTCCTGGGTTTGCCTCCGAGGTCTTCCCAGGCATACCCGGTGTGCATGTGCCTGCCTGTGATCTAGGCTAACTGAGGTTTGTAGCGGGTTGTGGCGTGAAGACCCTGTTGGGGGTCCTGTCTCTCTCTCTCTCGCTCTCATGGAAGAAATAAAAAAAATTTTAAATGGACTTAGAAATACAGAAGTGAAGCCTTTGAGCAGCCAGTGCTCATTCTGGCAGGAGTTAGACCGCAGTCATCTCAATGCTGCTGGCAGCCGCTGTCGCTCCCTGCCCTTCTTTCCAGTAACTCTCCAAGGGGCTCCTCGGGTGAGCACAGCCCGGCTACTTGCCCATAGTCCTCCACTGAACCAGCTTGGTGGTAGGGGACTCAAAAGCCTCTGAGTATGGTGTATGGCTCGGGGTCCTTGGGCAGCAACAGATCAGACTGGCTATGCCACCCTTGCTCGGCCCCCTGCCATTCAGGACCTAGCTCTCACTGCTCTCCACCTGCTTGCTTGTCTCTGTTCCCAGCTCAGCAGCCTTCCTCTGTGTGGCAGGCTTAGCTGGCAGCCTGTGGGCCAAAGTCAGCCTGAACTTTTTCTCTTAGACTCTCAAGTAACTTCATTGTTACAAGTTTCATTTGAAGGTTGTCAACATTCGAAAGTCTGGATTTGCAGCCTATCTGGAAAAGTCTCAGGAATCCGTTCCCTTAACCAGGGCATCTGCTTTCCAGCTTGCCAGCGTCTCTTCTGTGTCCACTGAGTGGTGACCTGCTTTGGCAAGTCTTTGCCTTCGTAGCTCCTGTTGTGTAGTCTTCTTGGTGCACCATCGCACGGCAGAGCAGATAGTGTTTGCGTTAACTTGTGAGACTGCCGAGCTGCCGGGAGAAGCCCTTATGCAGCCTCTGTCCCCCAGCAGGAAGGGCATCACCTGGACCCATGTAGATGCGTGGGTGTCTGTGGGACGTGCTGTCACGCATCAAGGTTTGTCTCAGTGGGCCCTTTCCGTTATTAGGTACTTGTTTAATTTGATGTTTGTGTTTGTACACTTCTTGTTAGGCTTCATTAGGAATCCACTGCGAAGCTGTAAAATACAGTGTGTTTTCTGGCGGGTAACTTTATATATTCTTGTCACTAATTACAGGTTTGATCATTCCAGCAAATTGTGTGTCTCCTCTTGTGAATCTCCTGTCAACCTCAGACCAGTCTCAACAGCTCGCGGTGCAGCAGAAACAGCTATGGCAGCAGCACCACCCGCAGAGCATCACCAACTTGAGCAATGCGTAAAGGACAGACAGGTCTCGGCACGGACGTGTCTGAAGTGCTGTGGAAGCATATCATTTGCATAAAAATCAGGGACAGTTTCCAAAGAATTCTATGTTTTTTTCAGTTGTGCTCTCTAGTTACTTTTTGGGGAGTGAGGACAGCCTGAAATGGCAGCAGTGCAGGTGCGCAGTGCCGACGGTGGGACGGTCTTTCCTTTTGCTTTAGCCCTGGTCCTCCTGTACGCTTCTGCTTTGGGTAGCAGAGGGCGTGTGCGCCTGTGTGTGTGTGTCTGTGAGTTTGTTAAAGGCTACGAACTGCAATTGGTCTGAAATGCTTGGAACTCCCCAAACTGGCTTTGCTTTATGTCCCCCAGTGCTCAGGGTTAACGCAGTGCACCCATGCCGTCGCTGGGGAGCTCTCCCTGGACGCATGCGTTTTGAGTCTGTAAATAGAAAATATATGTTGGTTTCTTTTTCCAACTTAAACAATAGGCTTATTAAAGCATGAAATGAAAGGTTGCATATCATGCATTCGGGTTCTTTTCCGGTTTTTGTTCCGACCGTGCATGTCTTTGAAAGCATGCGTGAACAAGAGTAACGTAGAAGTTAAGTAATGGAGAGAGTCGTTTGTAGATGTACAGCATTGGTTATTGCCTTTGTACCGTGTTTATACCTGGGTATTGCTTCTGACCCTGCGAAGCCCTGCCCCACCTGCCCCCGTCCCAGGTTTCTTGTCCAGGTAATGAGTACATTTACTTGTGAGAAAACTCTTTAATTTTAATGTATTAATAGTATTCCTAATGTGTGCTGCAGAAATGGCTATAAGCCTCCCTTTCTTAAAGTCGCGTTTTCCTTAACTTAAAGACAGGTTTAGAAAGAAGTACATATTGGCTTCCAATCTTGCAAACCATCTTTTTTTTTTACCCCCCACTTCATTATCATAGTTTAGTTTGCCTTGTTGCTTCTGGAAAGGAAACCGTCCTTGCGTTGTAACCGAGACAGCGAGGAAACCCTCGAGGCTCCTGCTGGACGTCTGTTGTGCTCTCGTTGTCGCCCAGTGACTTGAATACTGTTTAATGTGCTGTAAGAGTTATAGAGCTGATCTCCAGCTGTTAATTGCGCTCATGTACAAATGTGAATAGACGCTTATCTATAACACGGGGAAGTCTTGTTTTGCCTATAATAGATGTTTATAAAAACAAGTGAGGGGACAATTGGTCTGTTTCCTTTTTTTCTTTTCTTTTTTTTTGCTTGCACAAGTTGCACTATTGAAAAATTGAGATTGTATAAACCTGGTCAAAAGCTGCAAGATACCAAAATCTTGTAGATATCAAATAAAAAGTTACTATACTAACAAGAAGTGGACTCTTGTCTAGGCCCTCACCGGTGACTTCAGCAGTAGTCTGTGACGGGGACTGCGCAGCCTGCATGTTGCCTCAGCATTCCAGGTAGCCTTATACTTCGGCTTGAAACCTACCCCTAGAGTCTGCGATGCTGTTTCGGAAGGGGTGACATGGTAGTACTTTTGAATGTTTCTCAAGTTGAATTGCTTCCCTTGTAACTTCTTGAAAGTTTTTGAACAGAATTGGGTAAGGTGTATGTGAAGTGAGCAAAGCCTGATAGAAAGCTTGGGCTTTCATCCTCTTGTGCTTCTTTAAGTCTGACTTCGGTTATGCGGTTATGTCACGTTTGCCCTAAGCTTTCTTTGCGTTTATCTATTCTTGGTGCCCGAAAGAACGAAATTGAGAGTGATTTCTGTTCTTGGGCACTGTTCGCCCAGTGGATGCAATCTTGATCCTCAGTCCAGTCCGTGTATCTCAGGCAGTGACCCACATGAATATCAACTGGTGTCCCTCAGTAGGGTCACTAGGCCCACTTGGCAGATTGCCTCCCCACCCCTGCAGCAGTCGTCCCCACCCATTAGTGCTTCTGGCTCCAAGCCTGTGGTGCAGTCAGCTCCTACCAGCATGCTAAGGTGGAGGCCATAGCCTGAGGTGGGTGGGGGCTAGCAGACCCTCTAGTCAGACAGGTGGCGGGCTTGGGGCCGTGCTCTGTCACAGCTGCTGGCCCAGCTCTCCTTCCTGTGTGTGAGGTATCTTGAGCAGGTTTTGGCTTTATGGTGTTTTCAGAGCAGCATCGGTGTGAGGATTCTGGAGCACGCAGCGAGTTGGCAGCCTCTACCCCCTGGTCCATAGTATGATGCTTGCTCTTGGAATAGCCATCTTGACACAGGTGGCCTCCGTGAGTTCTGGTCTTTGTAGAACAGCATTTTTTTTTTTTTTTAAAATAAGATCCAGAAATAAGGCCTCTAAAAGCCCTCTCAAGACAGACCTCGTCATGGCAACCTGCGGGGGTGGGTGGGAGCTGGGGTGCTGTATGCCCGTGCCCGCTGTGGAGCGAGTTGGCACCGAGGCTGGCGCCCACCCCTCAGGAGGTGGACATCCGACCTTTGCACTGTGCCCTTCCAAAAGTCAGCAAGTTCAGGTCGGTCACCGTGGGGAGCCCAACATTCAAGGTCCTCCTCTGTCAAAAATCGAGTCTTCACAACAGCTACCTTCTGTGAAATAGGTCCTTTTTACTGCAGGAACCCCGGGGCCTTGTCTAATCCCAGGTGAGTCCATTTGGCCTCCACAATGCCTTTCTCCCTTTTTAGCAATATGGCTCTGAGCACAAAGATTTGATTGGAGATCCTGTTAGTGTTTTCAGAGTTTACAGTGCCGCTCGTACTGAAAACCACTTCCCGAGTCCAGAGCTGCTCAGATGTTACTTCTGGGGGGGGGGTTCGCGTTCCCCTAGTTTAGCAACCTCCATACCATAAGGTCTCTATCTGCAGTTTAGCAGGATTATCCAGAGATGCCGTCAATGATACGAATTCATAAAAGTATTCATCTGTTTCTTTAAACTCAACTTGATCCAAAAGTAGATATGTTAAGCAGTTTTGCTGCTAAATTGCAGATGCACTCTTCAGTATGTTCTCTTTACGTGTGTATAAATTAGCAAGAACTGCATCCAAAGCAATGTAGTAGTGTGTGTATGTGTGTATATATAAATATATATGTATATATATATTTATTCTAACTCAGTAATTAGCACTTGGGGAATCTTTCTGAGTTGCAACAATAAACCTTTCAGTTTTAGTTGACTTCATACGTAGAGGTACAAGCTCTAGATCACCAAGGTCCAGGGGAATATGATCTTTCAGAGGCACAGCTTTCTGACTTAAGTCTTCGGGGCACCCATTTTCTGGTCTTCATGTGATGCAATGAGAACGTCTAACAGGCGAGAGGAGAAAGGGTCCCAGGGCAGCATCACAGTTGTGCTGGGAGAGCCTTTTCTTCTCTCCCCTCCACTTTCTGTTAGCAGGAGGCAAAAGCTGCTAGATGAACAAGTGCTGCATCTCACTGTAGAAGGGCCCTGTCCAAGTATCTCATAAAAACGAACCTGGGTGATCGTCTGCAGTTTCTGAGAATGGTGCTACATGAGCATTGCTGTTAGGCTGGGATCCAGTTAGCACGTGCATGTCCAGGTCCAGCCTCCCAGGGCAGAGAACCACCGTGCTGATGGGCTTTTGTGAACTACCCCTCTGTGTCCGTGTCTCCCGGTAAATACACTGCACGGTGCACGTGCGCTGTTCACTGCCGAAACGCAGCAAACATTCCATGTCGTGGCCAAGCTGAGCTCAAAACTGTTTGCAAAAAAACTCATTCGATGCCAGTTGTCTAATAAAACGGCGTATTTTCTCAGTGAAAGAGACACATCTAGATACCTGCAACTCAAGCTCGCTGTTTTTTTTGTGTGTGTGTGTACTTGAGGTGAAACCCAAACCCTGTGCCCTCTGATTTTGTGCTGTACTTATATATATGTACATAGATGTGTATATATAGAAAGGCTGAGTGCTTTTGAATTCTAAATGTAAATATTTCTTGTAAATTGGGATCCCACCCACTTTTCCCTTTAGCCTTTTCCCTTCAGTTCTATTTATTCTTTTCTTGACTTCCCATATGGGGCATCTTTTTACTTTTTTTTTTTTTTTTAATTTCGCAATGTATGGAAAACTTCTTAGTTTAATTTGTTTCTATATTTGTGAATTCAATTTTGCATTTTTGCTATAGAATTTCCGTCTGTTTTCTGTTAATGTTTTTCAACATACCTGACTGTGTTTTGCATTTTAGTGACAATTCTTACTGTGTGCAATGCATTGTATGGGGGCATGCACTTGAGTGCTGTTTCTGACTCTGTCATCCTATGACTGGTTATGCTCGTTTATGTTCTTTGGAAGCTATAGTGAGCCTGATGTTTGCACATTTAAAAAAAAAAAAATTGCTCCCCCAAGCCTTCCTTTAAGCTACTCTAGCTTCTTCAGTGCACTTAGTGTCAAACTTAGCTCTTCAGTAACACCGCCTGGCTCCTGCCCTTGCAGTTTGCAGGCCTGCCCCAAGTCCCTTGTCTCTGGCTTTCCATCTGACCAGACACTTGCAGATCTGAAACTGTAGCAGATGCTGCTGCTGCCATTTCTCATGTTCATTCATGAAGTTGGGCCTGTACTTTGAATCTACAAACATTAAGCAGAAACGTACTCTGCGATGAACACTGGTAATCTGCTTCTGCTATAACTCATTAAGGGCAGTGCCAGCAGGCGAGAGATGGCCTGGCCCAGTACTGACAGGTGACCTCGGTGTGCACTAAGGATCTGTGTTCCTCCGGTAGAGCGCACTACTGCTGTGGGGCCCGCAGGTTGATTGCCCTGGGAGGTGGGACAGGCAGGTCGTAGTCAGAGGGCTGGCCGAACTGCCCTCTGCCTTCTTGTTGATGGGTTGGCCTTAGCTAGACCACCCAGAAACCCAGGCAGTGAGCTGAATGGAAGCATTTGGAATAGTTAGTGTTGGTGGTGTGAAAGGCCAGGGTAATTAGTCCACGAAAATGCTGCTGGTGATTATCACCCGGGAGGCAGACATGGCGGTCTTGTTCACAGATTTTATAATTTTAAGAAAATGTTGCTGTGTAACTTCCAGCAACAATTGCTGTGAGCAGTTCTTGGGCCTGTCATTCAGGTACAAGTTTCACTCATCACCACGTAATTTGGTAGACTGGTTGAACATGGGCAAGTTGTCTGCATTTGGATAAGTTTGGGAACCACATGTGTGGCCAGTTGGGGCTGTTACAGATGACCTTTGGAACCCCCTGTCCACGCCCTGGCCCAGTTTTCTCCTTGGTGCCTGAGGCACGCTGGAGCTGTGTGGTCACAGCAGCACTGTCGCAGCTGCAGCAACACCAGGCAGGCCGCAGCTCAGCCGAGACTGCCCTGGCGTGCAGACTTGAGCAAGGGGTGCAGCCAGGGAGAGTCAGTTTCTTTCTGACACTTGCAGTTCAGGTCTACCCTGACCAGAGGGTCAGTCCGGAGGTGAGAACTTGCCTGGCTCTCCCACAGCCAACCCCTCTGGCACAGGACCCTGCCCTGAGGCCCACTCGTGTGTGCAGACATTTCTGGCCATCAGACATGGAGGTCTTTCTTGCTATGACAGTATTTGTGGCACTGAAGAGGATAAAGAAGCTTGAGCCCTCTTTCTGACTCCCACTTTATGGGGCAGAGAGAGCTTTTTTCTACGTAGCACATTGCAGTCTCACTGCTGTCAGAGAAAAATCATCCTGTTCATGGTTTATACTGAATTTGCAAACTACTGATATTATTTTTCAATAACCACTTGTATCTGCCATCAAGCATTAGAGGTGGGAAGAGATACACTGTATCTGCAATAAACTCTGCCGGGTTCTACCTCTGAGCACAGGATACTTTTATATGTAGGCATAACTCTTCCTCCTCTACTAACCGACATGGTGCATCTTAAGACATCTGATGGATTCCAAAGACAATTTGAAACAAAGGTGGATGTAAACTCTTGGTTCCCTTTAATTTCGTTCTCTTTTTTTAAAATCTCCCTTTTTATATCGCTGCTCTCTTTGGAGCGTCGGTCAGTGTAGAAGGTGCCCACTGTGCTGACGATTCTGCACTGCTTCATGTCCTTGGTGGGACACGTCCCCGTGTCCAGAGCTGATTGTCACAGCCATTCTGATCTGTGACCGGAAAGCTGGTTATGCAGTAGGACGCGTTGGCTGCATGGAGCAAGGTTTACTCTTGCAAGTGAAAATGATCAACCATGATGCGTAACAAATTCTGTATTTACTTTTCTGTTGTGTTTGTTTTTTTGTTTTTGTTTTTGTAAGATTCTTAAATAAATTAAACAAAATAAATATGCCTTCGTCTCTGTGATTCCTTTGTGCAAGCTCCAGGCACCCATTGGTGTTGAACTGCCACCGTGCTGACCTGTGGGGCTGCTTCCCACATGAGCTGCTGGATGTTAATTTCAAACAGATCTTCTCTGAGTCTTACCCTGTGCACAAGGTGGAGCCCAGCACTCTGGAGCAGAACTGGATTCAACAGCCACACAGCTCTTAGCCAGCTCAGTTAGCACTGCCGACCAGGCAGGGGCCTGTCACTTAATGTACACTGGGCCCAAGACCCCAGTCAGAGTGTCTTTCCTGAAAGAGGACACCAGACGGGCAGCCATGAATGCTGGGTGACTTGAGGTTGCTGGGCTCCCTGGTTAAGATTTGTTCTTGGCACCGAGAGTGGTTTGTTGCACCTGTACCATCCACCGGTTCAGAGCTCGAGTTCTGCTTATGAGAAGGGGAACAGACGACCAACTGTGATCACAGTGCAGAGAGCTCCCTGGGACTGGGCCCATTCCACGCTCACTTCTCAAGGCTTCATCCTTCCCTTCACACGTAAACTTCAGAAGTCTTGAGCTTCTAGTTCTTGTGGCATTGGCTCCTTGATTTAAGACTGACTTGCGGAGTAAATGTTTAATAAGTAAGAAGTCTAAACTACAGTGTGTCTAGCCTTGGGCCACATGCTGTCTGCAGTAGCGCTTCCTCCTGGGTGATCCCTACCAGTGGTGTAGAAAGTAAGCACGAGCGAGCGGATCAGCTCCCTGGAGGTCATGGGCAGGAAGAGAGCAAGCCTCAGGAAAGGCATGAGTGCGGTAGTGTGCACCTCTGCCCAAGCGTCTCCCAGACAGGCCAGGTGTCCGCCGGCGAGCAGAATCCTCCTGCTGGAGAATGCCTGTCCTG